AAGAGCTACTTTATGAAAAGCCATTGGTCAAGTCAATTGTTTTGGATAGTCTACCATAATTTTGATTAGTTTTATACCTAGAATATTTGAAAACAAACAGGTTTGCTAACCTAAGTAGACAGTGTGCTATTAACAGTTCAGTATTTTTTTTACATAGTTCAGTTTTCTAATTTTTATCTCCAAAGAACTATTATGTGAAATTAAATGAAGAGGAATTTTAACATAGATTATGTAAATTCAGATTATCCATGGAGGTAAGAAAGACTTAGCGTTAGAAGATAAGCACTCACCAAACACACACAGAATGTTAACCATGTAGGTAGATGTTTCTGCTCTTGCAGAAATCTGTATTATAACAAAAACAAATATGTTAGTTTTAAAAAAAATTCAGCTGGGCCATGGTGGCACCCATGTTTAATCCCAGCACTCAGGAAGCAGAGGCAGGTGGATCTCTGAGTTTAAGGCTAGCCTGGTCTACAGATCAAGTTCCAGGACAGCCAGGGCTACACAAAACAAAGAAAACAAACAAATAAACAAAGTCTCATGAAATAGACTGTGCCTTCGTTTTTATCAATAATAAAAAAATCTTCAGATGCTGATTAATATCCTCAACATCATATGCCTTTGAAGAAATAATGAATGTGACTGTTCTGGATTTTGTCATGACTGACATAATTTCTGTCTGCTAACGATTTTAAGAGATGGAAGTGTTGACCCGCACAATGCAGTCCTGCATCCCTAAAGACTAATGACAGTTAGCAAAGATCCGTGGGAACTCTTGGTGAATTTGGGAGCTGAAAATGTGCATGTGTAACTGCCAACCCAGGGTTTTGTTTCTTCTTATAAATTACTGACGGACAATGCTGGTTGCTTAATTTAGGATTGGGTAACAATGAAAACCATGTAACATGTTAAAAGTGATTAAATTAAAAATTAAAGCATATTAAAATACTTAAGTAAGAGCAAAATCACAAATTCTATAACGTTAATATGTCAGTCATGTTATCTGGAAGAGATAAAGAGGCTGGATTATAGTCCAGGTAATAACAATGAAAAGGTAGGGAGATTATAAAGAACAGCTCTTGGGTTTTGTTTAAATGAATTACAGCTCAATTAATTTCCCCCAATTAAATCTTGTTAGAATTTGCTGCTGTTCCCAGTTCCTTCTAGGAACTTCTGTTTGTTATATTCAGTTCTCAGGGGAAAGAGTTGAAATAATGAAAGTGCCACCTGCTTGCTTGTTTTGTTTGTTCCGTTCAGATAACTGGAACGCTCCTTGATCGACAGTATTTGAAGCATGCCTCCCCATTAATAAGCTCAGAACTTTGTCACTCACACGAGTATCAGGGAAGACTGACTGGGTTTGATGAGTTTAGACAAAAGAGTGTCACAGAAACATTTGATGAGTAAGCTTACTAGCAAGAGGGGCTGAGGTAGACCGGGGAGGAGTCTCTAGCCAGGGCATCCTGGGAGTGTTCTCTAACAGGATGAGAGTTAGGGTGGAGGCCGCAGAGTACCCTGCTGACCTTGCTCGCCTGGCTCTGTCCAAGGGAGATAAAGCTCTGACTGTGTGCTTCAAGTTCTGCTCCTGAGCTACCTTCAGTCAGTCTCTCCACGTGGATAGTCCCCTAGAATTCCTGAAAGCCAGGTTCCACATGGCCGCACTGGCCTCATGGTGTGAAAACGTAGCCGCCTAGGCATGAGAATGAATGTAAACCTGTAGATCCGGAGCTAGCATGGAGGAGTGCCGCATGGCCCTGAGACGTTTCAGGGTCATAGGGAGAAGTTCAGGATATCGGGACTAGAAAGCTAGGTGTAGGGGCGCATTTCTGGGAGAGCTTATTTCCGCTTACTAGTTTCTGCCTGTCCTGATCTTGTTTTTAATTCATCCACTCATTTATTTCAGT